GAAAAAGGGGCCAGGAATTTAGCTCAGTGGTGCCAAGCCTGCCTCATAGTGCAAGGTCCTGAGTTAGATCCCTGGTACCAAAAAAAAAAAAAAAGAAAGAAAGAAAAAGAGTGAAGCAAAGCACAGATGAGAAAGAAATCATTCCAACTAAAACCTTATTAGCCTAATGGCATACTACAGAATACAGTACTTCTACATTTCTAGTGAATAATCTTCCTTCCTAGAAAACATTAATGTCAGATAATTGACCTTTAAGTGAAATTACACAGAAATGGAAAGGTCAGTTAGTATTCTTTCCCAACAAAATGACGTGTGGCATCTCCAGCATGGCCTAGGGAAGACAAGTCTGAAGGTAGTACATCAGACTAACCCAGCCCCCAGGGTAGGGATCACAGGATTATGGTGGTGTGCTAAGTCAGAAAGAGGATATTTTTAGAGGTCAGGGTTCTGTTGGTTTAAGTAAGGGGATTTGAGAGGATGGATGAAAGAGACCAGGTTGAATTTATTCTACACTTGTATGTGTACTATATGTGCCATGCTTTATTTAAGCGTCAATGAAGGGAGACAACCACTAGAAGTTTAAATTTATGGTGTGGCTGAATATGACAGTATAAAAACAATGAAATTAATTTTTAAAGTGTATTTTTGGGGCTGGGGATTTAGCTCAGTAGTTTTGCCGCCTGCTGCACAAGCACAAGGACCCAAGTTTGATCCCTGGTACCAAACAAACAAACAAACAAAGTGTATTTTTGGTCCAAATATCCAACCATTCAATTATCACTGAGACTCCTACTGTGCCCCAAGCACAACAGTGAGCAAGAGAGACATGAGCTCCACACAGGATTTACACTCCTGTGACACTGAATAAAGGCAGTAAGAACCAAGAACAGCAGCAAATTGTAGGTCTGTACAAGCAGCATGTGTGTGCACACATTACATGGACAGAAGAAGAGGGCTGACTCAGCCACAAGACCTGTAAACAAACTTCTATGAGCAAATCCTGAAAAGATGTGCTGTTAACTACAGACATTTTATCTGCCTCAAAATCAGCTTCAACTCTGCTCCAGGCAAAAGCCTGGCACGCTGACCGAAACAATGTCTACCAGGTAACTCAAGGGGCCTGCATGTTTGAGGGGAGAGGAAATGTGCCACTACATGGAAATACACATGGCTGGGGGAGCATCTGAGATTTCAAAATTACACTCTTGCGCCAGCGTCAGAAACAGATGCTCCATTAACTAGTTTAAATGAAACTAATCTTGCTTTCTTTTTGCCTCTTTATTTTTTCTGAGGCAAAGTCCAGGCTGACCTTGAACTCATTAAGTATATAGCCCAGGCTGGCCTCAAACTCACAGTGACCCTCTAGCCTCAACCTCCCAAGGGCAAGCATTACAGGCAGGCACCACCACACCTGGCCTCTTTAAACATTTTACTCCCTTCAAAGCTCTTAAAGGTAGAACCTCAGCTAAACTTTGTCTTCTCTCTCATCATCTTTCTACTAAATACAGTATTTTCTGAGGAATAAAATATGGTACCTGCTCAGAATGATACATAGTAGCTACTCAAAAGAGCAACTGTGTTTTCTTTCTTCTTATTGATTTTTTTTTTTTTTGGTACTGGAGATCGAATCCTGGTCCTTGGACTTGCCGGGCAGGTGGCGAAACCACTGAGCTAAATCCCTGGCCCATTTATTGATTTTTTTTTTTCTTTGGTACTGGGGATGGAACTCGGGACCTTGTGCTTGCAAAGCAGGTTTTGGAACCACTAAGCAAAATCCCTAATTTATTGATTTTTTTTTTTTTGAGACAGGGCCTCTACGTGGTTCAGGCCGGACTTGAACTCTCAGTGGTCCTCCTCTCTCAGCCTACTGAGTGCTGAGACTACATGCGTGCACAGTAGCTGTATTTCTTAACATTTTTTTTGCAGTTCTGGGGATCAAACCCTGGGTCCCACATCTGCCAAGGATATACTCCTACCAGTAAGCCATCCCCCCAGCTCCGTATTTCTTTTTTTAGTATTTTTTAAAATTACATTTTCACTACCATTTTCTAGTCAGAAAACAGAAATACTGTTGGGGAACAATCTTCAGATGCTAAAAAGCATATGCTTAGTAGCTACCACCAGCTTTACATGTGTACAAAGTACTCCAAAATAATTACTGAATTAAGTTATATATCAAATATTAGTGAGCAGTTAGTTATGTGCCAAAATTCTGTCATCTTTGTATTTTATCAAGGAATCGGTGTGACAAGGCAAGGGCAAAAAGAGCAAGCCCTAAATGTTCAGAGCTATCCATAATTTTTTTTTAGGATCTCAAATTTAGAAAAAAAATGTACTAGTCATAGCTGAAGTTTTTTTAAGACAAAGAAAAACCTGACATTCACTTCATTTGTACAGTTAACCATGGGGGCTCATGGGATACCAGATATGACACACTTAATCACACTACTGACTTCAAATTCAGTGTTCCACTTCCAGCTCTAAGAATAGCTCATACTTTTGGGGATGTGGGTAGTAGTTGGGAAACAAGATAAAGAATACAAAATAAAGGGCAGGGATTTAGCTCAGTGGTTTCACCACCTGCTGCGCAAGCACAAGAACCCAAATTCGATCCCTGGTTCAAAAAAAAAGAATCCAAAATAATTTGTCCTAATTTCTTATTGTTCAGGAAAAAAGAAAAAACAATTTTATCATTGAATATAACAGTTGTAAACAATGGTGTTGTACATACAATGTTCATTTGTTGTAAACACTGCCAGTTTGTACCTGGAGACATGAGCAGTGGTTAATTTGTTATACCCTGTAATTATAAATGAGGCAATCATGAAATTACACAGTCCACTTAATTGATAAACAAAACTGGGAAAAGTTAGCCAACTCTTACGCTCTCATCTGTAATGGCAAATCTCATTCTCTGTGGGTCTGACATGCCTTTTTCAATTCTAGCTATTTTTCTCTGTAAATATTTATGTTTGTATTCATTTGTAGAGATAAACTTAGCCTTTAAATGGACAGCTCATGTATAAACGATTAATTTTAAAAACTCTCGTAAAAATCTGTTTAGCCTGAGGTAAAAAAAACCCCTGCGAATGTAGCTAGTGTGAAATGTGACTGGCAACTACAGATCAAATAATTACACTTAACAATCTAAAGATGTAAAAATCAATTGAAAAACTTTGCAGGTCAAATTTTACTGATGGGGGGGACCCCCCCCCTTCTGTCTCTCAGACAGAAGCTATCTTTCCCTCAGTAAGTATTTCCAAATCTTAAAAATAAAATTTACTGATTGGATATCTGACCAAAGGTAATGTATTTTTTCCTCCTGGAGATCAAGTTTTTTCTTGCTTCATGAACCAACCGAAGTGGTTCAACATTTTTAAGTCAAAAAGGGACCAAGAGGGCCAGGGATGTAGCTCAGTGGTGCCGGGCCCTGCCTCGAAAGCGCAGGGTCTAGAGTTCGATCCCCGGTACCCCCCCCCCCCAAAAAGGATCAAGCGGTAGGGAGGGTGTCGAAGTAACTGGAACCGGCTCTTTGCAGCTGGCAGACCAACCAACCTGCTCCAAATGCTTTCAAGTCAATTTTTCCTTGACTAGCTCTAAAATTACTCAATTTCATTTTACTCCCTCCACTTAACTGTACACACAAAAAGTATGGAATTGAATGTCAGCATTCAAATCTGTTTTATAATTTGGGTAAACTTTGTGTTTGGAGGAGAAAAGGCTTGCCCCAAATTTATGCCCACTTTCCAGTTTTAATTCCTCATTCTTTTACATTTGTAGCCCTCCGACTGGAATTAAGACCTTTGGTCCTGGAGTGGTCACTCGCAAAAGGGGCTTGCAATAGGTTTTGAAAAAAACACTAGGGACTGAGCGGCCAACTCGTCTCTATCGACATAGATTAAGTAAGGAACGAAAATCGGTCATTATCTACAACCAGCCCTTCGAGAGTCGTCTGCAAATAAATTACTCGGCGCTGCAGAAGTGCAGGCGTCACGCACACAGCGCGGGAGAGATCGCCAGGCCCTGTCCCGGCGGCGGGCCGGGCACCGGGACCTGCTCCTTCCCTCCTCGCCGGGCGCCGGGCCACGCTCCCGGGACTGCCAGGGCGACCTCGGCTGGCCCGGCGTCCCGCCGCCTCCCGGGGAGACGCGCGCCCGCGAGCGGAGTCCGCTCTCCGAGCTCGTCCGCCTAGCCTCGGCCCGGGCCCGAGCCGCGAGGGGCCTGCGCCGCCAGCCCGCATGCCTGGGCCGCCGCCCGGCGGACCCCCAGCCCCGCGCTCTTCCCCAGGCCCGGACCGCCCCAGGCCCGGCGACACCGGGCAGAATCCGGCCGCAGGCTGAGCGTCAGCGCTTCCCCTCGGCTTGAGGGCAGGGCTCCAAGGGAGGGGGTGACCGGCAGGATCCAGAGGGGTCGGGGCGCCCACACTCACCATCCTCCCGCCGCGTTGCCCCTCCTCCTCCTCCTCCGCCGCCGCCGCCGCCGCCGCCGGCCTCCCCAGTTACCAGGGGCAACTGCTGCGGCACCGCCCCTGACGAGCCGAGGGGTGAGGCTGACGAGCCGAGGGGTGAGGCTTCCTCCCCGCGCTTTCCGAGGTGCGCAAGCGCGCTGGAGCACCTCCACTGCGCAGGCGCGCGCCAGAGCGGTGGGGGTGAGGCCTGGCGGACGGCTCGGCCGCGTGGCCGGCGGGAGCCTCGCGGCTGGTGACTGGCTGGCGGGAAGTTTGTGCGGCGGCCCAGCTGGCGGTGCTCTGCGTTCTGGCTCCCCGCGCACGCTGCCTTCGGTGCAGCTGTCTCGGGGCGTCCTTCCCGGGCCCAGGTAAGGGCCACCCTCCGATCCTACTCCCTGGAGGGCTGGACTCCCGGGGAAGCTGCAGCACGGCGCGGGCTGCGCGGCCGTCTGAGGAAGCCGCCTGGAGCTAGCGGCCCCGGGGACCCCTCCGCTCCCCTTGGCCCAGGGCGGGGCCGTGCTCGGCGGCGCCTGGGTCTTCGCAGCCGGTTTCGGGGTCCGTCCCGGGTCAGGGGTCCGTCCCGCCGGGAGCGGGAGGGGCGGGGTCTCCGTGGGAGGCCGAGGCAGTGAGGGCGGGGTGGGGGCCAGTTTGGAGCCCTCGGGGGACACAGGCCGAGGGTCGTCTGAGGGTTCGTGGCGGCGAGGCCACACTCTGCCCCTGTGGGGATCACTGTCTTCCTAGAGAAACGCTTCCCTTCACAACCCCAGAAATTGGCGGTAGCGAGCCAGAGTTAGGACTTGAACCGGCCTGTAAACCCTGGACACTCCTTACGACGTTGCTCCTAAACACTGCGGTCCAGGTGGGAGGAACGGAGTGTTTTATCTGTGATGGAAACCGAGAATTTTCTAAAAGCTGGTAAAGTCAGATCCTTGACGGGAGCACAGCTCAGAACTTGAGCGAGGGAGGAGGCGTAAGGTGAATGCGTAGCACGCACCCTGTAATCCGCCCATCTCGAGGAAGCTGGCTCTTCGGTGGGAAAGGCCAGGCACGTTGCTCTCTAGTTGTCTGGTGTCTGACTTCAGGGTTGCCTGGGAGTCAGGTGAGTGTCCAGGCATGTACCTGGGGCTGACTGGAGCTGACTCCACGTGCTCCTGTGTTGAGCTGTCTTCATTTCCCTCTGTTGTACCGATACTGATGTTTTGTATTGCCTTTTTTTTTTTTTTTTTGCAGTACTGGGGTTTGAACCCAAGGCCTTTGCACAGGGCTACATCTCCAGACCCTTTAGGATTTTTTTTTTTTATTTTGAGGTCTTGGTAAGTTTTCCAGGGTGAGCTTGAACTTTCTGTTCTCCTATCTTAGCCTCCTGGAGTGCTGGGAGTTCAAGCAGTGTGCTAGAAAATTTTTTTCCCCTTCTCTACCTGGAGTCACAAACAGGGACGCCTTGAGCACTTTTCCTCCTTATCAGAGAATACCATGAGAAAACCAAAGTATAAATAAACTGAAGGACAAAATAAAAGATAGCTAATAGGAAACAGGGGAATAGATCTTTTGGAAATGGGAAGGGATCCAAGAGATTGGTGGGGGGAGAAAGGGATGTAAAAAGAATTAAGATGTGTTCTGTACATGTACCAACTCCCTATGATGAATGTACTCATCATGTACTGGTAAAATTGTTTTTTAAAAGATGATACCTCAGAGGGACTGTGGAAACCTATTCCCTGAGCTTTGGTACTGTTTGCCAGAGAAAATCAATTCTCTCTGGGAAGGATGAGTATTATTTCAGGGGATATAGTAGTCTATTTCATTTTTTTCTTTCTTTCTCTTTTTTTTATGGTACCAGGGGATTGAACTCGGGTCCTTGCACTTGCGAGGCAGGTGGCGGAACCACTGAGCTAAATTCTCGGCCCAATTTTCTTCTTTCTCTTGCCCAGTCTTTCTTTCTTTTCTTTTTGGTGGTACTGGGTCTCAAACTCAGGGCCGCTCTACCACTGAACCACATTCTTGACCTTTTTTCTTTTTTGGGAGAGGGTCTTGCTGTGGAGTTCAGGCCGGGCTTGAAGTCACTGTGTAACCCAGGGCAGCCTGGAAGTTAGACTCACAGTGATCTTCCTGTCTCAGCTTCCCGGGTGCTAGGATTACAGGTGTGCACCACTGCACCTGGCTTCTTTTTCTTTTTTACTGGGAATCAAACTCAGGGCCTCACACTTGGCAGGTAGGTGCTGTACTGCTGAGCTACATCCCCATTCTGGCTTCTTTTTCCTTGTTAAAGAAGAAAGCCAATAGGCTGCAGTGGATAGAGGCCTGTCTCGGTGACTGCTGTTGGACTTTGAGGGCTGGATCTGTTTGTTCACCTTTTTGCCTGCTGCAGTGTTTACTACCAGCCATGCATGCCCTAGATGCTCAGCGAGTTTCCGTGACCTCTGAGTGTGAGACCTTTCCAGGCTTCGGTAGCCTGAGACTGGCTTCCGAATGACTTTGATCTGTGACAGTCTAATCCTGGGAAGGAGGCACCAGTCAGTCACTGGCTTGGCTTCCATGCCTGCCTTACTCCTAGTGGTGGAACAACCCTTCAGAAGCAGGGCTACCCTGTACATGATGGTGACCTTTTAGGGAGGACTAGGCTGACTGTGTGGGAGTATGGGGAGTGAAGGGGCCAGGCTTAAAGACCTGGTATGACTGGGTAGAGGTGAGGCAGCTCCATGGAAGAAAGCCCACCCTTCTGTAACTAAGATAGGCCTGGGTTTGGCTTAAAAGACAGACATCCTTGAAGCCAAGAGAACGCAAGAGTAAGTTGGAGCGCGTTTCAGTCAGGCCATGAGAGAGCATGTGCGAGACAAAGGAGGGAGCATTGCAGACCTGGTCCTGATACTCAGCAGTCAGGCCATGAGAGAGCATGTGCGAGACAAAGGAGGGAGCATTGCAGACCTGGTCCTGATACTCAGGTCAGGGGAAGCAGGCTATACAAAAACTGTGACAAGGAGGTGCCAGCTACCAAAGTCCAGCATGCTTCAAAGAAGGACAGGCTGCTGTGGGACTCAGGTACTGTGCCCTCTGGAAGACAGTGGGTATAGGAGGAAATGTTTCAGAGAAATAATTTAGATTGGCCTGCCTTGTGGCTTATATAACACGGACTGTGTGGTTTCTGTCCTGACCTCAGGAAGACAGGTTCTTGTGTAATTTAGCTGATTGCTCCGTCACTGTGGAAGTGCTTCCGTTGTGAGAGGCAGAGGTCCTCATAGTCTAAAGGGTGGAGAGAGCTATCAGAGAAGGGGTTCGAGTGTGTCCATGTTTGTCCCAGAGGTGGGGCCGGCATTTTGCCCAGATGCTCTCTCCAGAGCAGAGTGTGGGTCTCTGAGGCCCAGGCCGAGTGCGGCCTGCCTGCCTGCCAGCCAGACTCCCTTGACTTCTTGTAGCATCTGGCAGGTGAGCCTTTTCCTTGTTGAACTCTGCTCTGTTGGGACCCAGAGAGATGCCCTTGGTAGGAGGTCAAGGGGGTCAGGAGAGGTGACAGTCAGAGTTTTCGTGGTGGACACCTGCTGCCTGCCTCTGCCCAGCCCACACTTCATGTGGAGCCCCAGGGCCAGGCAGGGGTGCTGTGGTACCGTACTCGGGGTGTTCTCCTCTGCTCTGGTTCTTCCCTCTTAGAAATGACTGGCTCCAGCCCATCAACTTTGGGGGCTCCTTTTCTTGGTTTGCTTCTTAAATGTTTTGGTTTTTTAGGGTTAGTCCTCATTTTCCTCCATTTTCTGATCTATTTTCCCTAGAAATCTTTAGCTTACACCACCTTGATGCTGCTGATCAGTTTTTTACTTCTAGCCCAGACTTCTGTGCTGTTTTCCATGCCCGAATACTCACTGTCAAGAACCTGGACCTCTGAATAGCTAAATAGCTGAATGGTTTTGCTGGGCAGTAGGTTGACACTGATAAGCAAAATGAGGATACTCTGACTTTGCAGGTGAATATTTAAGTTAGTTAACAAAAGACAAATTGCCAGACATGGTAGCACGTGCCTGTAATCCCAACACTTGGGAGACTGAGCCAGGAGAATCACCGAGAGTTTGAGGCCAGCCTGGACTACAAAGCAAGACCCTGTCTCAAAAACAAATAACCGCAAATGATATAAGTAAATGGTATAGAAGCAAATGTGAAATTTATTTAAAAAAAAAAAAAAAAGATGAGTAGGCGTTATTTAATGAAAAGGAGAGGGAACAGCATTTGGAAAGACCTGAGACAGGAGTTACCGACTGCATTTAAGAAGGTCCCATGTGCCAAGTGCAGGGTGCACACCTGTAATCTCAGCTGCTTGGGGAGGCTGAGGCAGGAGGATCACAAGTCAAACCCAGCCTGGGCAACTTAGTGAGACTCTGTCTCAAAATAAAAAATAAAAAGGGCTGGGGAAGTAGCTCACACCCTGAGTCCAGTCCCCAGTACCACAGTAGTCCCCTGGCACTTGAAACCCACCACATGGAAGGTTAAAGTCATTGTGTTCTGTCTTAAAGCCTTTTGTTTTTGGTGGTGCAGGGATTCAGCCCAGGGTCTTGTGTGTGCCGGGCACGTGCTCTGCTGCTGACCTGCAACCTCAGCCCAAAGCCTGATTTTTTAATATCCTGCCTCACCACCTTACTGCAGTCCTGGTGTCTCTTTAAATACTTGTGATATGTACTGACCTTGGCTGGGCTGAACAAGACTCCCAGGAGTCCCTCCCATGTTCCCAGTTATCCTGGGCTGCAAGAGACCTTCCAGTTCTGCAGTCAAATGCTAAGCTAGGTGCTGCTGCACAGGTATTTTACAGATGTAATTAAAAGTCACTAATTGGTTAGCCTTAAATTAATCAAAAAGGAGATGATTGTATGTGGCATGACTTAATCAGACCCTTTTTAAGACTTCTTCATTTTATTTTTAAAATTTATTTATTTATTTTTTGGTACCGGGGATTGAACTCTGGTCCTTGCGCTTGCACAGCAGGTGATGAAACTACTGAGCTAAATCTCCGGGTCTTTATTTTAAAATTTGGAGACATGGTCTTGCTAGGTTGCCCAGGCTGGGCTTGAACTTTCGATCCTTCTGCCTCAGCCTCCCAGTGTCCTGGGATTATGGGTGCCTGCCACTGTGCCTGGCAGAGGGAACCTTTCTGCGGGACAAGTAGGCTCTCCTGAGCTGGAGGCTCCGGGCCATGCTGGACTGGGCTTGCTTTCTTTTCCAGGGTTGGCCCTGATGGACACAGCAATACCCCGTGCTCATGCTGAGCCTGCATAAAACTGTCCTCTTTAAAAGGCTTCTCCTTTTGGCCTCCTCTTGGGTATCTTGGTTCATCTGACTCCACCCTCTCATTTCCTGGGTGGTTGGGGTTCCCTCCCAGCTCCCCACCTATATCTGGGGAGGCCCCGACACACGGTTGTGCTTGTGATTGCACAGGATGTTTTCCTAACTGCGCATTGCTGTTTTCTCTCATTGTACAGTAACCTGTCGCTGCGTCTGACTTGGGGGCACCCTCATCCTTCCTCTGTCCCCAGAGTCTACAGCCTTGGGTGCGGGCATCATGGAGGGTGACCTGTCTGGCTTTAACATTGATACCCCCCGCTGGGACCAGCGCTCGTTCCTGGGGCGCCTGAAGCATTTCTTGAGCATCACAGACCCCCGGACCATCTTGCAGCCAGAGCAGGAGCTGGACTGGGCCAAGGCGATGGTGGAGCAGAGCAGGTGAGTGGTCAAGGCAGGGCCTGGAGGCACTAGGGGACCCCCCATAGGGTAAGCAGAAACAAAGTGAAGGTGCTCAGGAGGGCAGAGAAGGGGAGACATCTGCCTGTTGCCCTGTCCTGCAGGATGGGGGTCATGCCCCCAGGCACCCAAGTGGAGCAACTGCTGTATGCTAAGAAGCTGTATGACTCGGCCTTCCACCCCGACACTGGGGAGAAGATGAACATGATCGGGCGGATGTCCTTCCAGGTCCCCGGTGGCATGATCATCACAGGTTTCATGCTCCACTTCTACAGGTGCGCCCCGGGAGCCAGGCAGGGGTGTGGCTACCTGGGTCTGCTAGGTGGAGCCAGCCCCCCCGCCCCTGTCTGATCCTAGGGCCTCTTGTATACTAGGGAAGCACTTACCACTGACCCTCAGCCCCAGGGTGCCAGTTTAGGACAGCAGCGGTGGTGCTCTTGGCTGATCACTTACCAGAGAGCAGCACTGTGCTGATGTGTGTGTCCCTAACTGTCAGCAGCTTCCCTGTGGATACTGCACTAAGGACATTCGGTTCTACAGATGGGACTCTACAGGGGCTCAGTGATTTGTCCAGATTCACACAGTAAGGAAATATGGGTACCTGGATTGTAACAGAGGCAGTCCTCACTAGAACTCAACAAATAAACTATTCTAAGTCCCTCTCCCTTTTTTTTCCTGAAGGGGTGGCTTGAGACAGGATCTTACTATGTATTTCAGGCTAACCCTGAACTCACTATGGAGCCCAGGCTGGCCTCGAACTTGCAGTGATCCTCTGCCTCAGCCTCCCGAGTGCTGCAGTTACAGGTGTGCACCACCATGCCTGGCTTTAAGTTCCAGGCTGCCTATGATAGCACGTCCCTGTGATCCCAGCACTCAGGAGGCAGATGCAAGAGGATCGCCGTGAGTTCAGGACCTGCCTGGGTTTGGTTTTGTTTTGTTTTGGTACCAGGGGTTGAACTTGGGTCCTTGCGCTTACGAAGCAGGCAGCAAAACCACTGAGCTAAATCCCCGGCCCTAACTAAGAGTTCCTCTTTGTTTTGTTTTTTTGGTACCAGGGATCGAACTTGGGTCCTTGTGCTTGTGCAGCAGGCGGTGAAACCACTGAGCTAAATCCCTGGCCTGGGACCTGCCTGGGTTACATAGTGAGTTCAGGGTCATCCTGAACTACACATTGAGGCTCTGTCTCAAACACCCCCCCACCCCCTGGGCTTGCAGTGTATGTCAGTAATCCCAATACTTGGGAGGATGAGGCAGGAGGATCTTTAGTTCAAGGCTAGCTTGAGCTACACAGTGAGATCCTGTCTCAAAAAATAAAAAGTACTAATTACTTCACAGGGAATGTTGTTATTTTTATAATGTAATATCTAAGTTTTTTAAAAAGACCCTTTCTTTTCAGTTGGTTGGGAGAAATAAACTTTCTGTGTAGCCTGGATGTGACTTCTCCCCCCACCCACTCCCTCCCACTCATTCATTGTTCAGTTGTTGAGCCATGTGCCGGCAGCGTGAAGACTGTAGTCTCCGGCCCCAGAGAGCTCTATTGAGACCAGGAAGTCAGTGGTAGGTTGAGGAAAGACAGGGCAGTGGGAGCAGGGCTCATGGCGGGGCTGACTTTGTAGGCAGACAGTATTTGCTCCTCTGCTCCCCTGATGCCACAGTGCCTGATTTTTAGAGCCCCAAAGACAGAAGCCCTCAGTTTCCCTCTGTAAAACTAGTGTCCTGAGCCAGGACCCACCAAAATTGAAGGTATGGAGAGGCATGCCACTTTCTTGCTTTTCCTTGGATTCTTAAGAAAATCCACAATATCATAAAAAGGTTAAGATCCAAAAGCCAATCGGGCCAACTAGGGTGGGGCTGGCCATGACTGCCCACTCATCTTCCTGAGTGTGCAGTTGCTGTCCAGGAGGAAGGGATCTCAGCAGAGCAGCAGATTCTGCCCTGTGTGGGAGGAGACAGCTGCATATTCTGGGCAGAGGGCTCAGCCTGTCTGTACAAAGGCTGGGTACACAGCGGAGTGGGGAGCTCAGGGCAGTGCAGGTGAGCGTTGAGTGGGGAGCCCCAAACCTGCCCTCCCACCCTCTCCCGCCTCCTGACCTCCCCCACAGGACTGTGCCAGCGGTGATCTTCTGGCAGTGGGTGAACCAGTCCTTCAACGCCTTGGTCAACTACACCAACAGGAATGCGGCGTCCCCCACATCGGTCAGGTAGGAGACCTAAGCCCCGGCTGTTACTCCTCCCTGCATGGGGCCCACACTGGGCAGGTGGGTGAGTCACCCCTTTCCAGGGCTTGAATATTTTCTCTGGCTGACCAGGGGAACATCTTCTAGACCAATCCTAACTGTTCATGCATCCACTCACCCAGCTGTCTGTGAGTGCACTGTACGAGGTGGCATCTGACGAGCTGCGATGCCTTGTGAGCAAGGTCCCTGGGGAGCTGAAGGCCTTTACGGGAGATGAGCACATGATCTCAGATTAGGGTGGCCGCCTCTAAGGACTTGGCAGGGAGCCAGTACAGCTGTCAGCAGACAGGCTGGGCAGGAAGTCCTTTCTGTAGAGATGATGTTTCAGCTGAGGTCTGGGGGATACAGATGCAGCTGTGCCAGAGCACAGGGAGGCATTCGTGGGTCGTGGGGGCATCGCCATGCAGTTTGGCTGCCAAAGACTTGGGCATGTTAAAGTACCGAGAAAGGCCAAGCGGGCCAGCAGACTGGGGGCAGCATGAGCCTTTCTCTCAGTGTCTCAGCCTTCACTTACCCTCTCCTCCCTAGGCAGATGGCCTTCTCCTACCTCACAGCCACGACCACTGCAGTGGCCACTGCTGTGGGCATGAACATGTGGACAAAGGTGTGGTCTGGGGCAGCGGTGGGCATGGTGGCCACTGGGGGGCAGTAGAGTCCTAGGGAAAACAGCGGGGCTGTCCCCAGGTTTCCTTCTTGGGTTTTTGCTGGAGTCTGGGGTCCCCAGACTGAATGGATGTGTGGCAGTAATGAGGCCCCATTTTCTTTCTGCAGCCCCCTCCACTCCCATCTGAATGCTCCCGTTGTCCCCTGTCCCCAACAGAGAGCTCCTCCCTTGGTGTGCCGCTGGGTGCCCTTCGCTGCCGTGGCTGCTGCGAACTGTGTCAATATCCCAATGATGCGACAGCAGTGAGTAGAGGGCGACCTTCTCTCCTCCCATCGCAGCTTAACCAGGGAAGAGAGGAGCCCAAGGCAGTGGACAGGGCTTCTGGGCTGAGTCTCTGAAGGGTCCGTGAGGGCCGGCCACACCTGCGGGGTGAGGTGCTGTAAGGTCAGTCAGCATTCAAGTGCTGTAGGTGCACTTGCCCGTTTGGCGAAGGGAGAGGGAGTGTGGATCCATGGGCTTTTATACTAGATCCTGGTTTTTTTCTTGTTTTTTGAGACAGGGTCTTGCTATGTAGTTCAGGCTGGCTTTGAACTCACTGTGTAGTCCATGCTGGCCTGGAATTAGAGCTGTGAATTCTGGCTGCCCCCGAAGGCCTAGGGATGTCATTCTAAGTGAATTTGGCAGAGCGAGCCACCTAAAGGTAAATAGAACCAAGGAACTTTGAGAGAAGCCAGGGGAGCAGACAGATGTTTTCCAGGCACTTACCTCTAATCTTTTCAGCAGAAAAAGAGGAGAAACTCTCATAGTTCTGTTTGACTTTTACTTACTTTTCTGTAGTGCTGGGGTGGAGCCCAGGGCCTTGAGCATGCTGGGGATCACTGAGCTGCCCCGGCTCAGGTGTGCAGACACTCCTCTGCCCGAGCCTTTGATGATGGAGTGTGTGTAGTGCTCCCCAGCAGCACCTGAGTGTAAATGATGCTGTGGAAGTATGAACTCATGTCTGAACTCGGGTTGGTGCCACTGTCATCGTCTATATCCACAAGCCGTGTTACCTGGAGGCCACTAGCAAAGGGAGATGGGCGTCCACAGCCCTTAGAGAAAGGGCTCCATGGAATAGCAGGCCTGCCCACTGCCAGGCTCTCTCCCAGCTGCTCGGTCTCAGCTTGTCAGGAGCTGGCCTGAGAAGAGCAGCCAGAGTAGCCCCTGTCTGGGAGAGGCCCCATGCCAGGTGCTGGACTAGGTGCTTGTCAGGCATTGTCCTGTGTGGTCCTCACCCCGTCCTCTGAAGGATTGTCCCCCTTCTGCAGATGAGGAGAACTGAGGCTTCAGAAAGGTTAAGGCCCATGCTCAGAGTCACATGCATGCTCTGCAGTTGTAGGACTCCCCTGAGGCAGTGCAGGCCCAGGGCCAGCTCCCCTAGCCTCTGCCCCAGATCACTTCTGAGGTGCCATTTACCGAGTGCAGAAGGAGGCGTCCCCGACCATGGTGTCCTGGTGCAAGTCCCTTGGGCTGTTACATGGCCTGGGTGGCTCCCAGCTCCCCTTTCTCAGACTCAGCAACTCCTGTCTCTGTCCAGGGAACTCATCCAGGGCATCTCTGTGAAGGACAAGAACCAGAATGAGGTTGGCCATTCCCAGGTGAGCAGGAACTTCTCTGAGGTGGTGGGAGGGAGCTGCTTCTCCCACCCCAACCCTCTCCTTAGTGCTCAGGGTATCCTGGGTGCTATTAAAGGGTTAAAAAGGCTTCTCCCTGACTCATCCTCATTCCACATCAGTTTTCCCTACATTTCTGTTGAGAACAGGCCTCTTATGTCTTTTTTTCACTATTGGAGATTGAACCCAGGCCTTGGCACTAAGCTATATCCCCAGACCTTTTTACTGTTTGTTCTTTTGTGTGTGTGTGTGGTGCTAGGCATTGTACCAAGGGCCTTAGTACTGAGCTACAGCCCTAGCCCTGTTTTTATTTTATATTTTGAGACAATGTCTTGTTAAGTTGGTCCACCTTGTGGTCCTCCTCCCTCAGCCTCTCAGAGTGCTGGAGTTGTTTTGAGACAGGGTCTCAGTAGGTCACAAAGTTACCCAGGCTGGGCTCGAACTTGTGCTCCTCCTGCCCCAGCTTCCCAGAGTGCTGGATTGCAGGTGTGCAGCACCACACTCAGCTTCTTACTTCTTTCTTCCACCATTTCTGGTTCTGAAGGTGACTCAGACTTGGCCATGACCTTGCCCCAGCCCTCTGGTGCAGCTCATTTGCACTGGATGAGCCCTTCCCGACCATTGCTCTTTTCTGCCCTCAGAGAGCTGCGGCCCTAGGCATCACCCAAGTGGTTATTTCCCGGATTGCCATGGCGGCTCCTGGCATGAGTAAGAGGGGGAAGCCCTCCCTTCCTGGGGACCCCAGAGCAGGGGCGGGGGCCAGCCTCCAGAGCCAAGGCGTCTCCAGCTGGTTTGCACGAAGGCTGCAAGCCCAGGAGAACTACACTAGTTCCCAGATCATCGATGAGGGCCAGGGATTTAGCTCAGTGGCCCTGCACCTGCCTCCCAAGTTCGTCCCCAGTACGGGGGGGTGGGGGTGGGGGGGTGGTTAGAGTAGTAGAAAATCTTAAGAATTCCTTATAATAAGCTTTCAGTGGGATTCCAGATCATCAGCTCATCAGAGATTGGGAGGAGAAGGTTATCTTCCTTCAAGTGATAGTCATTAACACCAGTACTGAGTGTGGGAGTACGGGCATTGGGCAGACAGTAGCAGAGACTGCCTGTCCTGATTTGCGTATCCCAGAGCAAGATGCAGTATGTGTTTGTGTGAACCTTCAAAGATGTTTTTAAATTTGAGTCAGCTTGGGCCTGGTGACACGGGTGCACCCTGAGAGGGCTGGGGTCGGCCGAGTCACCCAGGCCCTCGTCTGACTGCCCCAGGGATCCTGGGGAGTCCTGGGCCTCCCCTCACCATCTGCCCTGGTCTCTTTCAGTCTTGCTGCCGGTCATCATGGAAAGGCTGGAGAAACTAGACTTCATGAAGGTCAGCTGGGTTCCCTGTTACACCCTCCCGGGGCCTGACCCTCCCCTCCTGCCCTCCAGCCACCGCCCTGTCCTCCCACTCAAGTAGAATCCTGCAGGGGCTCTAGCGGCTGCTGCTTCAAGCTGGCTTGTCCTTGGCTGGGCAGGTGTGGATTCGCCTCAGGGTATCCGAGTCCCACATGGATCTCTGTTGCTTGTTTTTGTGCAGAAAGCCAAAGTGCTGCATGTGCCACTGCAGGTCACGCTGTGTGGATGCTTGTGAGTATGGGGCTCTGATGGCCTGGGGCGTAGGGGTGGGGCCCGAGGTCTGCCTGCTTGTGCTGCCCACTTCGGAGCTGTGCGCTCCCTCCCTTGGCTCAGGACACCCGAGGTCCATCAGGTGCTGTCCCTGTCCTCCTCAAGGGGGCCAGACTGGAGAGCTCTCTGCACACATCAAGCAGGAGCAGGTGTGTGGCACGGTGTCCTCCCAACCTCAGGCCTTGAGCACTTGTGGAGACAAGAGAGGCGAGGTGTAGCTGGGCCTGGGGCTGCCAAACATCCCACCCAGCACAGGCAGACACAGCTGAAGCAGCACCTTAGGAAGCCACTGTGCTCTGGCCATGGCCTAGCATCCCTTGTGATTTGTGGGCTGTATGCCTTCCCCTAGTGCAGCTGAGGTGCAGCGGCCTCTGAGTGGCTCCCTGTGCTCCCTGCCCTCCCCGGCCACACCCTGGTCTTCCTCGAGGCTGGGATGGACGTGTGCAGTGGGCAGAGGGATGGAGGGAGGTTGATTTTGTCCCCAAGCCAGGGAGGGTTTCCTGGTCCTTGGTGGAGAAGGCTGGATGGAGAGGCTGGGGGCTGTGGGAAGGCAGCCGGTGTGGGCAGCTCCTCTTTCTGCTGGGCCCTGGGACACGAGTGGGCAGGGCGAGGGGTAAGGGACCTCAGTGGTGGCTCAGTTTTCCCTCCTTACAGCCTCCTCTTCATGGTGCCAGTGGCGTGTGCACTCTTCCCACAGACATGGTATTGCTTCTTTGTTCCTGCTTCCTTTTATTGACTGCACTGCCACTGCTCCCCTGAGCCTCAGCAGAGGGATGGGACAGCAAGGGCAGCACTCTGGGCCCTTTCACCCTGGTAAATGGCAAACCAGCCAGATTTCCAAGGGGCAGAGAAGTTAGGAGGAGGAGTGAGGTTGCTCCTGTCGGGGAGCAAGGGCTGCCTAGAGATGGTGGGGACAAGAAGAGATCTCCTGGGCTGGGGATGTAGCGCAGTGGCACCTGCCTGCCTTGCAAGTGCAAGGTCCGGAGTTCTATCCCCGGTACTGAGAAGAAGAAAAAGCCATTTCCTGCTGGCGGGGTTTTGAGGAAGTCTCCTGGGCTGGACCTGGCCTTTACAGTTGAGTAAGGTACTGGTTCTGGCTTATGTTTCTCAGACGGCAGTGACTTAGACCTCTCCGCTCCCCTCGGGTGTCCTAGAAAGGGTGGGGAGGGGCGAAGGGACAGCGGAGAGGGAAAGGCATCAGGCCACCCTGCCAGCTGGCTGGCCTGGGAGCGGCTGTGCTGGGATATGTGCCAAGAGGGCTCCAGTTGCCCCTGCTGTGGCACTGGCTCAGGGTCAGCTGCTAGGCATCTGTGTCCTGAGCACCCTGCTCACGGTCTTGGGGAGAAGACAAGTTTTGGCCAAGGACTTGCACAGGGAAAAGGAAGCCTGCAGAGTAGAGGGGAGTGCTGGCAGGGGCCAGTCAGTGACAGACGCAGCACGGGGGTCAGGGGTCGGAGGGTTCCTTGGAGCTGAGCCTTGATCTGCCTTTCTGCGGGTACCTTGTTCTTTGCCTGGGCACCACACCCAGAACGCTTCCGCCCTCCATTCAGTGAGTTGCCTGTCTCCTGTCTGGAACGAGAGCTCCGGGACACTGTCAAGGCCAAGGTTGGAGAATCCTCACCCTACGTCTACTTCAACAAGGGTCTCTGAATGCCGATGGCGGCGAGGACCGGGCTGCCCACACCCTGCTCTGCTGTGTGCCCGGGCTCACATTCCTCCTTGCAGCATGGCTGAGCCAGGCGGGGCAGGCACCACTCACTTCCACCAACCACCTCCTTTCCCGGATTCCAGGGGATCATGGAAAAAGGGACCGAGACCACAATCTTCTCTCTGCCCCCGCCTTGGCCTTGGTGGGAAGCAGCTGCTGGTCCCTGTGGGCGGGCAGAGGGGGAGACAGTCAGCCGAGCGACAGTCAAGTCACTTGGAAGACGTAGGAAGCCTTTAGGGTTCTAGCCCAGCCAGGACAGGGTTAAGACCTAGGATGAGAGGAGCCTGCGTCCTCCCTTCTCCCAGTCCCAGCAGCGGGACCTTTACCCTGGCAGGCCAGCCTGACTCACAAGGGAGGAGGGGAGGGCAGGCTCCTGTTCCCGTCCTCTCCCAGTCAGTGCTTCCAGCCCCATCCACTGACATTGACTGTTCAGCCAGCTCTCTGGGAGGCTGAGGCAGGAGGATCACAAATTTGAGCCCAGCTTGGGCAATTTACTGAGACTTTCTCTCAAAAAAGGGCTGGGGGGCCAGGGATTTAGCTCATTGGTTCCAGCCCCTGCCTTGCAAGTGTAAGGTCCTTAGTTTGATCCCCAGTACCAAAAAAAAATATGGCTGGGGTTGTACCTCGGTGTAGTGGCCCTGGGTTCAATCCCCAGCACTGGGGAAAAAATCATGACTGGGTCCATTTTGGGGATCTTCTCTGTGATGATGGAAGCCTCCTCATTCCCTCACTGTGAGTGAGAAGGGTGGATGTAGGCACTGACTTCAAGGTCATGGGTGTAATCTGGCTGCCGCCCCTCCCCAGCCCCTTAGACACCGAAGAACCCCTGGGGTTTGCTGGCCGGGAGAGGGAAGGTCACCGCGGACACTTCCAGGAGAAAACCAGGGGACCAAGGACCCTTAGGGAGTGGCTTCCTCGTTGGAGGGTAGGACGCTCTGGAGCCTGGTCAGTGTGTGACTTGTGGAGGATACTGCTGCTCAGAGTTGTCACCAGGCTGGCAGAGTGCTTGAAAGAGCTCGAAGATCTGCAGACTGAGTAAGGAAGCCTGGATGGAGCACAGAACCTTGGCCGAGGCCTGTCAGGATGTCACAACTCCTTGAATTAGAGGCCGGGCATGGTGGCGCATGCCTGTAGTTCCCGCACTGGGGAGGCTGGGGCAGGAGAATTACCATGACTTTGAGGCCAGCCTGAACTGCACAGCAAGACCCTGTCTCAAAAAAATTTCTCTAAGGGCTGTGGGTTTAGCTCAGTGGTTTCGCCGCCTGCTGTGCAAGTGCAAGGACCCGAGTTTGATCCTGGGTACCAAAAAAAAAAAATTTCTCTAAGGGGGAAAGAGTCCCCCTGTCTGTGGGGTGCTCCAAATGTGTTCCAGAGTCGGACCCATGTCCTAGGGCTGGAGTTGGCCAGCCAGGGCACAGGAGGCCAAATTTGGGAGCTAAGAATAGCTTCACATCTCTAAAGGGTTACAGAAGAAAAGCCCCATGTGATGGTGCATAACCCATGAGTCTAGTACTCTGGCAGGCCAAAGCAAGGGAGGATCAAGAGTTTGAGCCTAGCCTGGGCAGCTTAGCCACTTAGGGAGACCCTCTTTGAGGCTGGGAATGTAGTTTAGTGCGCCCAAGTTTTCCAGGTGGACTCCACAGTACCTCAGAATCCTCCTGCCTCAGTTTCCCAGGGACCACACACAGGTGTTAACCACCACACCTGGTTTGTGGGGTGGCTGCTCTAGGGGAAAAGGTCTTGATGGCAAACACCTAGTCCCTCAATATTACCCAAGCGACTACACTTGTAATCTATTGGTTGATTATAGTTTTTACCCATGTTGTACCTACCCCTCGTGACTTAGCGCTACAAAACTTCCTTTGAGAAGTGGGCTCCTCATCCCACTTGGGACCCCTTCTGTCTCAGGAACTGTTCTTATTCCCCATTTCTATTCTCCAATAAATTTTCTACTCTTAACCTCTGTTCCTTAGAATTCATTCTTCAATTTCGGGGAGCATGAGCTTGGTGTGTCTGACATCTAGCAGGAAGGGAGTCACATTTATTTCTCCTGTGTCATTCCTGTATCGCTATAGTGACAGTATTCTGCAAGGGGGATGTCCCATGATGTTTGGCTCGGTCGTGTAGTGCTCTTGCTATGGTGTGTAGAAGTGTCAATGGCTAGAGTGATGATGATCAAAAGTAAAAACTATCAACTTACATCAAAAGCATTAATTGGAAAGTAGGATAGTACTGTGGGTTGCGGTCACATTCATGGTGATTTCAGTCTTTTTTTTGTTGTTTTTTGAAACTGTCTCGCTGTGTATTCCAGGCTGGTCTCCAACTCACAGTAATCCTGCCTCAGCCTTCCAGATGCTGGGATTGCAGGCGTGCATTTCCACGCCCATCTTTCAGAGTTGGTTTTGTAGGGCCAGAGGGTTTGAGGAGCAAGTTGGTTCCACGTGAGGCATCCTCAAGGCTTGAGGTTCATTTGGGTCCCAGGAGAAGACTTCATCATGTGGGGCAAACTTGGTTGTGTGAGGCGCTGCTGGAATCCAAGGTGCCCCCAGGTGGCTAAGGCAAGTAGCGACTTTGGAGCAGGTTTTCTCAGTCCTGAAGGATGAGCAGCTAAGGTATAGTTGGGGCTAGGAAACCTCGTTTTGGTGACTTCCAGGAAAGCACTCTTAAGTGAAACCATTCCTGTGTGCAGAGCTGAGGAGGGTTTGGTCCAGAGTTTGCTTCTAGTTGCCTGTTGGACATTTGTAAGCCCACATGAGGAGTCATAGTTTTAAGATTTTTTGAAGCAAAACATTTATTGGTACATTTTAGGTAATTTTTTTTTTTTTGGTACAGGGTGTCGAACTCGGGTCCTTCTGCTTGCAAGGCAGGCGGCAGAACCACTGAGCTAGATTCCTGGCAATTGGCAGCTATTCTTTTTTTTTTTTTTTGGTACTGAGGATCAAACTCAGGACCTTCCGCTTGTGAGGCAGGCAGTGGAACCACTGAGCTAAATCCCTGGCCAATTTTAGGTAATCTTAACAGTCACATTGATCCTAGGGAATTTGTACCTGTACATGATATATCTTACTTCTTTTCCCATCCCTTCCCCTCCCTTCAGCCCCGCTTCCCCTCCTTACAACAGCTTTGTTTCCATTTTTCCCTTTTCCTTTCCTTCCTTTCCCCCTCCTCCCTAGTTCCCCTTCCCATTTGAATATTTTCTTTTAATTTCATAATATTATACATTTTGGTCTTTATTTACGCTTTGCATTTCTCACATGAGAGAAACCGTGCAATATTTAAATGTGTTCAATTTATCTCACTTTAGAGTATGGTGGATCCATTTACCTAGAAGTGTCCCAAGTGTATCCTTTATGGCAGAGTAGTGTCAAGAGCCATTCTACATAATTTTGGAGAGAAAATCATTTCACAATTAAATTGTAATTAGGGCTGTCTGAGGCCTCAATGGTCCCATGATGTGATGCTCGAGGGCATGATCACAACAGCATGAGATCTAGTGGACTGGGCGTCACTGCCACCTCTGAGTCCTCTGATCCTATGAACCAGCCCCTAATCAGGGGCAAGGTCAGAGCATCTCGGAGTCTGCCTGGTCTGAGGCCGCCCACGTACTTAAAATTACTCGAGTCTGTTGTCTTTCTCTTTAGCCCTCGATGTCCCCCTTTCTAGGCAGTCAGAAGATTGATCGCCCTCCGATAGAGTGGCGCTCCATTATATATAAAAAAATCTTTATCCATTTGTCAGTTGTTGGGCATTTGGGCTGTTTCCAAGATTTAGCTGTTACAAACTGTGCCGCTATAAACATGGGTGTGCATAAATCACTGTGCTATGATGCTTTAAATTCTGTCAGGAAGATAGAAGGGGAATACCTGGGTCAAATGGAACCTCAATTTTATTTTTTTGAGGATCTCCGCATTGATTTCCACAGTGGTTGCGCTGGTCATTCAAGAAAAGCAAATTAAAACATCACTGGGCTGGGGATTTAGCTCAGTGGTTCCGAGACCTGCCTCGAAAGCACAAGGTCCAGAGTTCAATCCCCAGTACAAAACAAAACCCAAAACACAACACTGAGATTCCATCTCAGTCCAGAAGGAATGGCTGTTATCAAGACATCAACCAATGTTGGCAGGGCTGTGGGGAAAAAGGAACCCTCTCCACTGTTGGTGGGAGTATAAACTTTTTTTTTTTGTACTGGGAATTAAGAACTCAGGACCTTGGGCCAGGGATTTAGCTCAGTGGTTCCGGCACCTGCCTTGCAAGCACAAGGAGTTCAATCCCCGGTACCAAAAAAAAAAAAAAGAACTCAGGTCCTTGCACTTGTGAGGGACGCAGTGGCACCATTGAGCTAAATCCCTGGACCCTGGTTTTATTTTTTGTTTGTTTGTTTGGGGTTCTTTTGGTACCTGGGATCGAACTTGGGTCCTTGTGCTTTCGAGGCAGGCGGTGGAACAACTGAGCTAAATCCCTGGCCCCTGGTTTTATTTTTTGAGACAAGGTCTCAACTTGTAGTTCAGGCTGGCCTTCAACTCACTAGGGAGCCAGGCTGGCCAGGAACTCACAGAGATCCTCCTGCCTCAGCCTCTCGAGTGCAGGGAGGACAGGTGTGTGCCACCACACTGGCAGCAAAAACTACTTTTAAATGTGTTTGTAGCATGCTTTTTTTTTTCTTTTTTTTTTTTTTGAGACATAAGTGCAGGCTGGCCTTCAACTCACTAGGGAGCCAGGCTGGCCAGGAACTCACAGAGATCCTCCTGCCTCAGCCTCTCGAGTGCAGGGAGGACAGGTGTGTGCCACCACACTGGCAGCAAAAACTACTTTTAAATGTGTTTGTAGCATGCTTTTTTTTTTCTTTTTTTTTTTTTGAGACATAAGTGCAGGCTGGCCTTCAACTTTTTTGAACTCTTGAGGTCTTTTTGGAGGTAGGGCCATTAGAATTTTGTCCCCGAAATTTGAGGTGACAAAGGTCTATGACCTATTTGAAGATACTATCTAATAGGAATTCAAGTGGACTGAAGTTGCTGCTTGGGATACTTGAGACTGGAGGAGAGATCCTGTCAGTTGGGTTGTGCTTCAAGACAAAAGACATCAAAGACTTTTAGACTGCAGTTTTCTCTTTAGGACTTTTTTTTGGTACCGGGGATCGAACTCGGGTCCTTGTTGCTTGCGCAGCAGGCGGCGAAACCACTGAGCTAAATCCCCGGTCCTCTTTAGGACTTTTTGTTTACCTTCTGGCAATGACATTTTTCAACACCTTTTAGAATCATCATCCTTTTCTCTCTCTCTCTTTTTTTTTTTTTTTTTTGGCTCATCTGTGGAAATCTAATACTTCTGCCACACTGAAAATGGCTGAATCCCAAATGGCTTGTTCACTACATCTTCTGGATGGCTTTACCCAGTGATCCTAGTTACTTCCGCCACTCTCTGTGGGGTGAAACGTGTTTTACACCCAGTGCAGTAGCAGCACTCAAGATGGCCCAGCTTCCTCCTACTTTTCATTGGTTGAGAACCTGCGGCCGTTCTCTCGTTGGGCGGGACTTACTCTTGATTGACATCTATAGTGGTCAATACGCGAAGGGTAAGAGCCAATGAGGCTCTGGAACTGGAGACCGTTCCCCGCCTCTTCATGCCTGGGGCGGGGTGAGCGGAGCCGGAAGCGGGAGGGGAGAGAGAAACAGGAAAAGAAAGGAAGGAGGAAGAGGAAAGAAGAGAGGGAGGAGGACGAGGGTTGGCGGCGCCGTGACGGAGGAGCAGGAGCAGCGGGTGGGATGGAGAGGAGGAAGCTCCTGGGTGGCATGGCGCTCCTGCTCCTCCAGGCGCTGCCCAGCCCCCTGTCAGCCCGGGCTGAACCCCCACAGGTAAGGGGAGGGGCCGTCCGGGGTTGGCGGACCGGGGTCCTGAGGCCTGGCCGGAGAGCTCTGAGGTAGAGTTGTTGCCAAGCGTTGAGGAGTCCCGGGGAATCCTCGTGCCTGGCGTGGGCCGGAGCCCAGGGACGCCAGTGCTTAGCCGGGGACACCTGTGACGGGTCTGTGCCCGGCGAGCGCGGGGCCTTCGGGCGGCGGCGTGCGGGGCGCGGGGGGTGGAGTTGCGGGCCGGCGGCTCGCTGAGGAGGAGCAGGTGTCTGGGGCCGGGTGCTGGACCCGGGAGGCGACAGAACTGACCGCAGGGGAAGCGGCCTGAGAGCATGTTTATTTCAGGCTGGGCAAGGGGAAGTTCTGAGGGCATCCTTGCCCCATTTTGCGTGGTGTCAGGCACGGCACCCTGTGGCATGTGGTTGGAGGCAGGTGGGATGAGTGGATTGGGGATCCCTCACCCCCAGAGGAGCGATAAATAGCTCCTGTTGGGCGGGCTGGCCTGGGAGGCAAGTTATTTGCGGGTCTGAGCAGCGTAGGGCTTTGGAGCAAAGGGTGGTTGTGATGCCCGTGTGGGCAGCAAGGGGAGCACCTCAGCCTTTCTTGCTGGGCGCCTTGCTCTCTCTCCGGGCAGAGAAGCTTGCGTGTGCTGATCCGCTCTGGCTGGCGTTTCGAAAACCGAGTGGAGCCTCACCTGCCGTGCCAGGTTGGGTGGGTGACTGTAGGGAAATCACCCCTCTTCCCTTAATTTTGGCGAGGCTTTAGCAGCGTTTTCTTCCACTCCTGTCCCCTTCCTTGTCTTTTGCCGAAGGACAATCACTAACACAGACTAATACCACAATGGCAGCGTCTATACACTTAGCACTTGAACTTCGTATTGTGACCAAGGGCGTAAGGGGAGTGCCAGGAAAAAACAAACAAACAAAAAAACACTTCTTTTCCCTGGGGATGTAAAGAATGCCTTTTCACATACGCATCTCGTTTTTCCCATCAGTGTGCTCTATTTTAAAATATCGATTAATTTTTAAAGTGAGCTGACATTTACATAGCAAAATTAGCACTTTAACGTGAACAGTTCTTTGTTGTTTAGTACGTTCGCGGTGTTGTGTAACCAAC